TCAGTGAATTTAATGTTGTGACTGATCAGTGTATATATCAATTATTTCTTAAAATATAACTGAGTTATAAAGTTTTTTCTGTTTTGAAATAATGTTTTCATTATATTCTATTCGAAGCTGTTTAGTTTTGATATTTTCGAAGTGTCTTACACGTATTGCGCTAGACATAAGACATAATACATGGGACTGTTAGAAAATAACAAGCTGAGCTTGTCATTCTCTGAGTCAGTGTTTTTTCCAGTAATAGTACTCTGTGTGCTGATATTTTCTCTAAATGAGCAAAGCTAGACATCTCCATACAATAGACAATGGACAGTTGTCATTTGGGGAGTTATTCTTTAACATGCCAAACGTCTGTTAAATTGATTTTTGGAGTTCATATAGTCTCCTGTTTGAGCTGTTGCCATTTTTTCCCCCTTGCATTTTCACTTGGGAGTCATCCTTTAAGAATCCAAACCCGCTATTTTTGAGAATCCTCAGCAGAACTTTTCCCCCTTGTTTTCCCTTCCATTTCTCTCTCTTTTTTTCCATTCTGAATGTATCGGTCTCATTCTTTTTCATGGAAGAATGATCTTAAAGATAGAAACTGCCCTATTTGGTAGAAATTGCCTTATTTGGTCTGGTTTATTTCATATACTTACTCAAAACTTAATTCACCCTTATATGGCCAATTAACTGTCATATATTGGTTTGATGTATAGGAACATTCAGAAGAAACACAGAGATCTTATGAGAACTCCAGTTATAAATGTTCATGTCTGTAGATTAATATAATTGTATACTGAAGCTTGAGACAGTATACTGAATGTTGTCAGCTATTTATTCATAAAATAGTATTTATAGTAAAATAGTATTTTCTCAATGTTTTGAAACCATAATGAAACTGTAAATAATGTAAACTATTTCATAATGTCAACTTTTAATTGTTATATAAAATATATTAATATATGCAGAAAATAAATGTAAATTATAGATTAACCTAAGATTAATACATTCTATAAAAAGTATTGTTAATTGTTAAGTGTCAAACCTGGCATGATGTATTAGGACATTCTGCCAAATATCTCCTTTTTGTATGATGGAAAAATAAAGTTAGAAAGACATAAGAGTGGGAAAATGAGGACAGACATTTCTTTTTTTCACCCAACTATCCTTTTAAACTTGCAGTCACCAGATGTATGGTGACCACAGGTCTGTTCTCAAGGCCGGATAAAGGGATCGAACTGTATGTCTGAATAGCTCCAGCCCAGGCCTCTGTCCCAGCAGGGGGTTCATAGTGAATACACCCAGCCTGGCTCGGATTGTTCTGTATATACACATACGTGCACACACACACACACACACACATACATATGACAATACCTCTCTTGCAGTTTACATGGTTCCTGTTACCCCGTTCCTTGACTCCCTCGATCTGTTTCTCAAAGTCTGTAATCTGACGTGAAAATGGTTTATGGTGATAAAGTTGATTTGTTGTGTTGTGTTTGGCGGCTGATTTCAGATAGCAGGTCTCAGGGAGTAGGTGATCCGGGTTCCCTGCACATAAACGAGCCACAGAGGGCCAGTTATAGACCATTACAAGAACTGTATGGGGCTGAGGACAAAGCCCTGGATACTGTGTGTTCCTGTATTTGTGGCTCTTCCTGTCTCCTGCTGTCACTGCGCTGCAGTCGCCAATGCTTCCGGAGAGTCTAGGTTGGCGGCACTGGCCTCATTAGGGGGTACACACACAAACCACTCACACACTACACACCCAATAGCTCATTGTGCTCAAAACCCATGTGGATACCTCTTTCCCAATCTCAGTGATCAGTGAGTCTCCGGGGAGAGAGAGGACTTTCCCTGGTAAACACTGATGCAGGTAAACAGCTCTTGATTCTTATGGGCAGAGACATCAAATACAGACCTGAGTTGCTTTTCATGGCCTTCAAGAGTGAAGAAATCTAGATTGATTGACCCATAGTAACATTTTATTGCTCAGATGTTGCACATATGTATAAAAATAAATATGAAAATATGCATATAACAATATATGTAACATTTTTAATGCATCAAAACATGAAAATATTGAATAATTTAATGCACTAAATAAAGTTAAGATCTTTAAATTATTAAGATTTAAGATATTAAATTATTAGTAAATGAATATAAAATTCTTAATTTATTAGTATATATTTATATTTTAACCAAGATTAATAATAAATGCTGTAAAAATGTTAATTGTTGGTTCATGTTTAACGAAGAACACATTAGAAACATTGCTCAGAGGTTGCATAAATATATTTAGGTGGCATATAAAAATAAATATATTTATGATATTTATAATTCATGCAACTAATAAATTGTAATTAATATCATTTTAAGAATCAGGTCATACAATTACAATATAAAAGTAATAATATTTTGAGAATTAAATAAAAATGGCAATAATATAGTAGTATAATTACAAAATTAAAGGCACCTTGAAATTGACAATTCTTGTTTTATGGAATACTGAATATTTTAATGTGCACATCTTTTTTTTTTTTAGTCATGTGCCCTTCTAAACTTTAATTAAAAGAACTATTTGACAATTGTGGCTTTATTTTCACTGTACGATTTAATTTAATTACGATTTAAATCTAATGCTGCAACTTTTTCTTTATGGCTTTAATCAGCAATGCTACAACTTTATTATCATAATATTATGAATTTAATCCCACAGGGAATTTATTTTTAATGATATGATATGATACGCCTATGTTGAAGCCATGAGTTCACATTATTTTTCAACTTATGAAATAATACTACTAGTTTTAAAACTAGTTATTTAAAACTAGTTTTAAATAATTGTTTAATAGCAGAATCCCTGGTTAAAGGGGTCATATGATGCAATTTAAATTTTTCCTTTCTCTTTGGAGTGTTACAAGCTCTTGGTGCATAAAGAAGATCTGTAAAGTTGCAAAGACTAAAGTCTCAAATCCAAAGAGATATTCTTTATAAAAGTTAAGACTCGTCCACGCCCCCCTAAAACGCCTCATTTAAACACGCCCCCACATGTCTACGTCACGATGTGCGAAGATTTGCATAACACCGCCCAAATGTGCACGCAAAGAAAGAAAGCGTGGTTTCAGGAACAGCAGT